CATATTCGAATGTCCTCTGCTGACGAAAACCCATCTTTACGAAATTCCAATTTCGAACTCTGATCATTACTTTGAGTTTCTCATTAAAGCATTTTATTGTTGGGGAACTTATTCACAATTAACTTTAAATAATTAACAGTATTATTCCGTTTTTTTTAAATATTAGGGGAGCGGTGTCATCCAAATAAATCAATTTAATTAAACATTTTTGTATTGTTTTATAAGGCGTTTGAAATTTTTGTATCAGCCGGCGATTAATTACATTTAATTGTAACTTTTTATTTACGAGTATTTTTTCCACACATTTATGTGGCAACACATATTTTACTATGCTAAAATTGACAATAATTTCAATTTAATGATATGTAAGTATACAGGCGTAAATTTAATAATATTTTTTTGCAGCCAAGCTGCACATATTTTTTATGAACAAAAATTGCGTGCGTGTTTCGCTGCGGGGCCATTAAATTATGATTCAATTAATAAATTCTCGTTGTGAACTAATTTGAGTTCCCAAAGGTTGTTTTTTTTAAGTGAAAATGAAAAAGATGTTTATGGGTTGAAAATCCGCGAAAATCCGTGGAGGCAACAATAAAGGTTGACGGCGGGAAAAATCTCATGCGGTTGTTAAAACTCGGAAAACTGGGAAAACCAGGGGGCTTGGAAAAACCTGCTCCACCGGGGGCTGAGCATTCATTTTTTATGTTTATTGTCGCTTATCGCTCGCTAGCCAAGGGGGCGTGGCTCCGGGGGGTAGCGGTGGGCTGTGGGCGTGTCATTAGGGTCTCGGAGCCAAGATGAAAAAGAGTAAACAGGGCTATGAAAAAACGTTAACAACTCTCTTGGGGCCAAAAGGGAGCATAACAAAACGCATTACACACACAATCTTTCAGTCTGTATCGGCGAATGTGTGTGTGTTTCTAACTTTATTAGCTGTCTCCCCTGCGGAGTGTGTGTGTGTGTGTAATGTGTGTTACCTTGTCAAAATTATGAAAGCGACAGGGGACCTTCTCTGCATCCTGCACCTGCTCATGCTAAGGGCAAAATTAGTCTGTGTCTCAGATTTCTGCACACAGAGATTATAGCCATTACTCGGGGATGCTTTTATCAGAAGGATCGCAGCCAGGACTTGGTAAAAATAACTATATCCATCCATCCAATAACTCAATCCATTTCCAAGTTATCAGTTTTATACCATTTATGCGCCAAATTAATATAATTTATTCAAAAATATTCTGTATATTCCAATCTTTAATTGTTTAAAGAAATAGGTTGGTTGAATAAGTTTACCTTTTTGTTTTATACATTTAAAAAAAAAAATGTATTTATTTCAAATAATAATAAGCAAGATGTTAAGCCATTACTCGTCTTAACTCTTCAATTAAATATAATTAAATTAAATATTGAGGAGATTGATTTATGAGTTCAGCGGTTATCCAAATCAAATTTATCGCAGCTGCCTTTCTTTTATAATAAATACTTTTCAATTATCTATTTCCGCAACTCATTTGCTATGATAACTGCGGCAAAAGGCGCCGTGATGCATAATTCCTTGCGGCACATAAAATATTCCATTTCGGGTTGGGGGTTTTCTTTAATATTTTTGCAATGATGCCGAGGAATCTCGGAGCTTGCTAGCACCTCGCCGGGGTCATTTAAATGCAGATTGCAATGAGCAGTCTGTCCACTTGAGAGCCGACATTTGCATAATGGCGGGCGACACATTGCAGCGGAAGCGGAAACCCGAGCCCGAAGCCGAAACTCCTCCCCCTTCCCCATCCCTTCCCCTTTTCCAGGGGCGAAAAGTGGAAAATCGTGGCAGTTGCAGGTGCTCGGGTCGTGTTTATGACTACTTGAGATTGCAGGGTTGTCGTCGGGGTTGTCGTCGCTGTCGTTACCAAACGGAAGCCATCGAGCATTGGGCCCAGTAGTGAGCACTTCTCATTTGAATGCGACTGCCATAAATAAGATTGGGTTTTGAACTGCAGGAAGTGCGAAAATACCTAAATATATAAGAAACGCAATAAATGGAATAAAATTGGTTTATTTTAATTGAATAAAATATAGAAAAATAAAAGCAATTTCTCAATCAATGATATTAAATATTAATTACAAAATCCAAAAAAAACTCATCATGTTCCTCATTCTAAAGCAACCTTTAATTCAGTGCCTAACTAAAGACATGAAGTAATTTTATTCCATCACATCCCGACATTTTTGGTAAATGCTAATGTTTTTATTATTCTTCAAAAATGCACTATTTTTGGACGAGAATAACGTTTTCGTCTGGCCAAAGTTCAATTTCGGAATTTCCCAAAATATTTTTACCTTGCAATGGTCCATGGCCCCTCTCTTTTGCCGCAGTTGGTGGGATGTTTATGTTGCCACATCCCATGAAGGAAAGGGCACGCATGGAGCTCTTCGACCCCAACGACCAAACGCAACACACACACCTACATATCCGCAGAGCCAACTACACACACACACATGCGTTGGTGGTGAAAGGTGCAGCTGTGACTTTGGGTGGGGCCAGTGGGTGGCGCTGGGGAGGTGGTGTCAACCAGTGTCAGTTGTGGTGGAAGGAGGAACCTGTCAGCAGCTGGAATACCTCCCCGGTCACTCGAAAAAATTGTTAAGCTTTTTCTAGAAATTTCCTACAATTGCCTATTTTAGAAAATATATTTTTAAAATTATAAAATGGAACAAAAATTTCCAATATTGAAATTTAATAAATTGTAAAACTTATAGAAAAGCGTTATAATATTTAGGCTCCTAATTGATAAATTTTGAAAATTAAATTATGCAATTTTGGTGAGTTTTAAAATAGATGCCAACAGAATATAAATGAAAAGCAATAAAGTGCTCAATAAAAAACATAGCTACAATGGAACAATGGAGCCCCGGTTTAAATATTATTTTTCTTATTAATATTTGGTTTTCATTTTCGCATTTGTATTACATTTATTTGATTTTAGCTTTTTTCATGCATTTTGTAGTCTTTTTTTTCCATAGTGTTGAAATTGGTTCCGGCTGAGCTTTTGTTGCTGGTGTGGCATAAATATCGTTGCGGTTGCACGTGAAAATTGCATTTGGCCAGCAGCATTTGGCTGCTGCTCGGATAGTTCCACTTGAAGCGAAGTGGAGGCCATCGAGTGGGCGGCGAAGGTTGTGTCGGTGCGCCCTTACACGCTGTGCAAATTGTGGACTTAAATGTTTATAACGCACCACCCCAACCGTCCATCCACCAGCCAACCACCCAACTCTAGACCATTTTCGGCGTTTGTTTATTAAGCTTTTCTGGCGAAGGGAATAGAAAACGAAAAAAAAGGTGTTGAATGCCACTTGCTGGGGCTGCTTTTTATTGCCATCGCACATCTAAGTGCAGCAGCTGTAAAATAAATATATATTTTTATTTTATCCCCTCAATTTCTTTTGCTTTTATTTGTTGTAGTTGCGAGAGGATATAAATTAAACGCATTAGAGTAGGAAACCGCAGCGATTTTCCTTCACGTTTTTCCCCTTCGGCATTAATTCGCTTTTGCAACCGACAAAGGCACTTAACGTTCTCCCTCTCTCTTTCTGTCTGTCTATACCCCTCTCTTTCCAATCGAAGTGTATACAAAATTTAAATAAGAAACAAATCGAAGTAATGGGAAAGTCCCCGCACACCTCTTCGATTTCTAGGTACCAAATACCAAATGCTCAAATGCTGTAAAAGGCAGTGGGGAAAAAACTTGGGAAGCTGAAAAAAGGAGAAATTCCGACCATGCTCTTCGCATAATGAAAAAATAAAGGAAACCGAAAATCCATTGAAATGAAATTCATTGAAGCATTTTTTTGGCTTGGCAAAATAAAAGCGAATAGAAAATTAATGACACGATACGGTTGGTTATCAAACACGTTTTTACCTTTCAACAATATCAATCGAAATTTGAATGCTATTCAAAAACTGGTGTGAATTTGGTAAAACAAGTGTATGAAGCCAAATAAAAAATTCTCTATTCATTTTTTTTCAGCTGAAATAAAATGTAAAATACCAAATAATAAAAAATCACTTTCCGCACCTGTTTACCACATTCATTGCCGAAAACTACGAACGTATATATTTTAGTGAAAGTAAGTACGTCGAGGAAATAAACCGACATTAATTTTTTTCAAGCAACTGATTCGATATCGTTGATAGCCCACGAGAGTCGTTTGCCTGGCTTCCGTTTTAGTGGCGAAGGAGCTTAGGGCCAAGCTCTTAAATAGAATGACTAACCATCTTAATCACATCACAGACATCGAGGGATATGTTCGCCAGTTGGGATGAAGGGAAACTAAACGCTCGCCGGCACTTCAGCATTTCGGCAGCTGTCAGTTGTTTGCCACTAAACGCTTACAGCCAGCGAAAAATGCGGAAATTTTATATAATCAAATGGCAGCCAAAAAACGGTTTTGTGGCCACGGGGCGGACGTCTTCTTTCAACTTTTCCCGGTGGCTCCGCAGCTCCATGGCTCTTTGGCTCCACTGACTTCGCCCCTTTGTTTGCCTTCGTTTTGTCTTGCACTTTGCATACAAAGTACCATTAACTACTGGCATCAGTTTTTCACACAACAGCAGCGTTTGATGGGTTGGCGGTTTTTCCACACAGATTTCCTTAGTTCGCGAGCCAAGTGCCAAGTGCTCTGACCAGGAGGAGTACTCCATTTGGATTGAAATGGCTTTGGTTTAATGTGTATACCGAACAATTATATCTAAGAGCACTCAATAGATTTTTATGGCCATTTACCAGTGAATTTGGCTTAGGAATGTTGAAGATATTACTTGATGAAAATCAATGCTAAAAAATTCAAAACTAGTTAATTGGAAAACAAAGATATGTTCTTTATTAGGCAATAAAATATATATATATATTTATATGTATACATTATATTATATTTATATTTATTATATTGTTAAATTAATAGGGTTGCTCTTATTAGTCATGTTATAGCAATTTATTTATTTAAATAATTAATAATTTTAATAAATTTTTTATACTTATTTACGTACACATCATATTCTATCGATTAGTCGATGGAGATACGCTCTGACTAGCGATTTGCTATCAGTTGCAGTTGTTATGCTGTCCTCCATAGTAGTAGTTTCCATAGTAGAATCAGAATAACCCTTTGTTGTGGTGTCCTCCGTTTTATTGTAGAAGAAACAAAAGTAAACTACCAAGGCTACTATGATCAAAACTCCGATGGTGGAAAAGACAAAAAAGCACAGACATTTAAGACCCAATTTGCAACAGCTGTAAAAGTAGTTAGAACTTGAAAATATTTAAAAGCAGGAAAATTAAACTTACCAGCAGAGCGCACTTCCAACCAATCGCAGACACATAATTGCTATTTACAGAAAATTTTGTGTGTAATAATTTTTTTTTTAGAAAGATCTATGACTGAAAACGCAGAGGGATACTTGCCCACATGCTCAGGGGTAAAATGACATCAATTTAGGCAAAACAATTCGAATACTTTGGCCATAAAAATGATAGCCACACCCCCGCCAATTCGTGAGCATATTTTGGCTTTCAAGCAAATTATATTTTATCCTATTTTCTTACAAAATTCGTTCTTTTATTGCCGGCAGTGCAGGAACTTTGAATAAGGGTTGTGGACCTCCCTCGAATTGTCGTCGAGGGCCGCAGGAAAATTTACAGAAATAAAATAAAATGGAAAAAACGAAACATTCGAAGAAAAGTTGGAAAAGGCACGAGAAATGTTCTTTCTTGCCGCATAATCGAAATGTATTTTGGCTTTTTATTGCACTGCCAAAGGTAAGAGCCAAGGAAAAACGAAGGTTGGGTACTAGGGAAGTGTGGACCTGGGTTTTTGTGCGGGGCGATAACAACATTTTAACGCCTTATGGTCCATTTAGGTAAAAGTGCCGATTACGCTCGGCTTAACCAGAAATTATGACCTCTGAGTCGGGGAACTTTAAGCGAAGGAAGTCTTTTATTTATACACGTAGAGTGGCAAACCTCAAGGGATAAAGTGCGGGCTTCATGCTGATTAGGTGGCTGAATATTTTAAAAAACCTTCTAAAGGCAACAGAGTTTTCAGGATTTATCAGAGAAACTTTTCTTTTTAAATATTTTTGTGAATTAAAATAAAATGGTTTTATTTTACGAATATTGTTTTTACAATTTAAATAAAGAAGACAAACAAAGTTAACTAAATAAATAATAAAATCTTTATTTGTTTGCAATTACAGTTTCCAAATATTTATTCATTTCTTTTAAATTTTTGCTATCTATTTTAGACCAACATTTGTAAACGCTAGAGCTTCATTCATCCTCATCTAGGGCTTTAGAGAAAACTTTAGCATCAATTACCCTGCTGGTCACGGCTGTGCTTTATGTGGCAGCAACGAGGCGTATGCGCAATTTATTTGCATATGATGACCGGCATTGCGTAAAAATTAATGAAAGGCAATTAAAAGCATTCGGAGAGGCAATAATAATATGTAGGCCAGAAACAAATAAAAGGTTGCTCTTTCAAAAGTCATCCGTTCGCCTCTCAACTGTCAACAGCAAATAAATATTGTTGGAAATTTGCGAAATGCACAAAATATTGCCATTATAATCGAATGATTTCATTTGTGTTACTTTTGTAATTTAATGCCATTTGTTAGAGATATTTATGCCTATGAAAATTGAATTGAATTTCATATTGTTTTCGTTTTATTCCCCGATGTTTGTGTTGTGGCAGCATTTATTTTTGGTGTGTGCTTTGTGTGTTTGGCTGAAAGTTAAATTGAATTTGTTTTTGGGTGTTGTGGATTTCTTCACAATCAATTGCCATGACAAATGCTTCTAGTGTTATTGCTGTTGTCGCTTCTGCTTGCAGTTTGGCTTGCATTTGTCAAGAGGGAATGCTCTACTATTGGGGCCTCTAAGAATTTCCCAAATATTTTGATTATTTTAAAGAGAAAGTAATTTTTTAAAATTGAAATCATTTAAGGATTTTGTCATGCGTATTTCGTCACTCAAAATATAAATATGTAAATATCACAATCTTCTAATTTATTATTTTTTATTGTTTAATTTAATATTAAAATAATTCTTACAAACCATATTGAACCGTATTTTATTTTCAATTTTTTTTTTCGAATTTTGATTCTTTATGGGCTTTAATACGAATAATAATATAATATATTTGTGAATTTTTTTGTGGACAAAATACGATTTTCTTAAGAAAATTTACTATAAAGAACTTATGTCAAAGACAGATATTTTCTGAGTTTTTTCGTCGTAATTCAGTTAAAAAGAAATCGCCGCTTTTTTGTAAATTTAAAATATGGTCTAAATGTTGTAATATTTGTAATAATAATTTGAATTCCAAGCTCTATTCAATGGTAGTGGACTTTTAATATTTTTAAGTGTTTTTTGATGAGGGTAACACAAGTTCGACTATACGACCACCCAACTGCAGGCTTCAGTTTTTATTCCCGGAAAAGGGAAACGGTCTGTGGACAACAGTGCGCTGCGCTGGGAATCTTGTGCATTATTGCGATTTTACACGCTGCTGCACTCGAAAATGAAACGGACAATAAGCTCCACTTGCCCACTGGCGGTGCTCAAGGGGGCGTGGCAGCGGCAGCGGGAAATGCAGCATCCTCACCAGCCATCATTGCCACTGTCCGCCGCTAAAAGCTTTTTGATTATGAAAAATGTTCGAAACATATGCTCCAAATGACTGCGAAGCGTGCGAAGAAAGTCCCTTGCAGTCCTTTTCAGTCCTTTGATACTTTTTACAGTGCAGTGTTACCGAGAAGTATACGAATTACGTACCTAGGATATATGTGTTCTACACGTACTGAACATTGTGTAAGTAAGCATGTTTTATTTCGTTGCAGCTTTGCTGGCTCTTCTCGTCCTTGTTCTTCTTCTCGTCGTCGTCCTTGTGCATTGTGTATTGTGTGTTGTTTATTGTGGCTTTGCAGTTTTTTAGTTGCCATTGCAAGTGGACTCTACTCAGCTTGGCGCATTGTTAATGGTCGTGCCATTTTATTTTAAAATTAATAAAGTGGCCAAGCCGGAGAAAATTGCAAAACAAACTTTCTTCTCGTTTTGATTTTCTCTTTGCCGCAGGCGAACCACTTTCAGCAAACTGTTCAAGTTACAAATGCATTTTTAATAAATGCTCTGATTTATGGGGGCTTCGGCTGCACAGAGAGAAATGTGAAACAAAATATATTATTAAATCGAATTTAAATTAAATATAAGTAAAGTTGGCATATATAAAGTAACTAATGCTTTTTCTTTGTTCTGATTTTCTCTGTTTTGTGTTATACATTCTTTTTATATGCAACACCTGCTCTAGAGTTTGCTAGAAGGAAATTCTCATTTTTACAATATTAGTTTAAATACCTATTTATTTTTTTACATTTTAAAAAGACAAAAATAAAAATCAGTTTATAACATTTATTATACCCGTTACTCGTAGAGTAAAAGGGTATACTAGATTCGTGCAAAAGTATGTAACAGCTAGAAGGAAGCGTTTCCGACCCCATAAAGTATATATATTCTTGATCAGGATCACTAGCCGAGTCGATCTAGCCATGTCCGTCTGTCCGTCTGTCCGTCTGTCCGTCTGTCTGTCTGTCCGTCTGTATGAACGCTGAGATCTCAGAAACTACAAAAGCTAGAAGGTTGAGATTTCCCACACATATTCTTTGGCTTCCTACGCAGCGCAAGTTTATTTTAGCCGAGCGCCACGCCCCCTCTAACGCCCACAATCGCCCACTAACGATTTTAAAATGGGTCCTGCGCCCACATCTTTAAAGATTTCCGAGAAGTATAAATGCAATTTTGTTGTGTATCTTTATACCTATCGAAATGTAGAAGACATTTTTCACATCGGACCATTCATTAAAAAGTTATACGCAATCAAAAATTATATATCTATCTCCCTCGCACTCCCTTTAGCTGAGTTACGATTATTAGTCGGGACACCAACCCGACACAGCGTTCGCACTCCCTTTAGCTGAGTGACGGGTATTAGATAGTCGGGACAACAACCCGACTATAGCGTTCTCTCTTGTTTTTAATTTTGGAAATGATGTAAGTGCAAGCATTATAAATAAATTTGACAAAAAATTGGTTTTGTTTCGACCACCCACATGGGAACCTGAAATAATTTCCAAATTCCCTATGATTTCCCCACACGCTGCGTTTGCCGGTTGACAGCCTGTTCATCATCGAACCCATTTGCCACTTAGTGAGCAATTAGGTAGCAGACTGTGCCCGGGCTCATTATAAATCAACGAATTCTCTTCCCGATGCGTTGGCCATCGGATTTGTGTGCCCAGAAAGTGCATTAGCCTTTGTCTAGGCGAAAGACCAACTCGGAGATGGGCGACATCCAAGTCCATGAGATCGAAAGGGGAACTGGGGGAGGGGTGCAGACACGTAATCGTAGATGCAGAGCGAACTCAAATACACACATCCAGATACATTTTTGTGTTCGGTATTTTTAGCTGCCAACGCGGCGATGTTGTGAGCGAAAGGGATGGGGAAGGCAGGATCGTCTTGTGATATTTTTAAACGATTAAAACGCAGCAGCGGCGGAGTCAAGTGCAACGAGTGCTGCGCTCTGCATTGGCATCAAGTGTCCGGGGGCAGTTGCCCAAACATCGGACCAAATGAAGCCATTAGCCGGTGCGGAGTTCTGGCCCAAATATAGACACACTCGCCGGGAGTTGGCTCCTCACTTCTCACTCCTTCTCCTCCGGATTCTCCACTCCCGAATGACGGGTGATCTCGAGTTTCACGGATCTCCCAGAACGACATATTGTCTCTTCGCGGTGTCAATCCTAAAAGACACTAAAGTAATTATTGTACTTCAATTTTTAGTTATTTACTAAATGCATTTAAAGAAATTGAAATATTATTACCACTGTAGAAGTAATAATTTTATGACTTCATTATTACTATTATTTACATTTTTACCCATTTATAAAAACTACTTTCAAATTACCGAAATTACTTTAAAATTGTGAGTGACAAATTTATTTAAGATGACCATCTTGACGTTTTAAAAATTATTATTGCGTTGTAACTTATATCTAATTTATAAATATAAAATAAGAGGGGATAATTTCCCTGACTTTGATTCATAAACTTATATTATTATTATTATTTATTTAAGTCTTTGACAAGAGCTAGTTTAAGATTATTTCTGTTTTATTTCATGTCGAGGAGGTCAATTATTGCCATAGGCTTAGTCCATGTGTCGCATCCGCGTTCTCCAACCAGAGTTGACAAAGTTCCAAGTGTCTTTGCGGCTTGGGGATTCCCGTCACGATTTAGCATTTTTCATCAGCTCAGCGATTTTCATGTCACGTTCGCGCTGACAAAGTTTTCCCGCCCGGAACCTTTGCCCTTCCACTTACAACTTGTGCTCATCCTGGCGCG